TCCTAGTTAATATCACCTGACCAGCCATTCTTTCTGAAATATACCCCTTATAAATAATTATCATTTCCCTCTTGTCGTTCAGAGATGGCTTAAAATGTTATTCAGATAAATTGGAATAGTCATTCCCCAAGGATTAACTTCCCTGTTAGAATCCTTGGTAGATAGACCTTTGTAAAATGAATCAGAAGCATTCAAATCTCTCTTGCTTAGATTCTCCAGGTGAGTTGTGTCGAACTATAAATCCGGTCATCCTGAGCTGTATTGATAAGTTCATTTGAGATCCCTAGTTATAAAAGGGGTTTCACTGTTGTTGATTATTGTTTTTAGACCTGATGAGGATTAAAGTAGGGTGTGCACTGCCATTTCAAATGGGGCCATTGGGATTATCTTGAATTGTTAATAATATCATTTAGGATAATATTTTTAGTGCCCAAAATATGGCATTCATGCAATGAATAAACTTGGAGTAACTTTCTGGCTGGGGAAAAATATCTGACAAGATGTAGTTTAGTGATGAGAAAAGCAAGGACCTACATTTATGGAAGGAAAAGTCAAATGTACAGGATAAGCAGTACCTAGTTTAAAGTTGTAAAATGGATCTTAGGAGTTCTGGTGGATACTACTTGAATATGAGTCAGAAATGTGCTGCAGCTGTCAAAAAAGGCAATATAGTCCTAGGCTGCATCAACAGAGGAATAACATCAAGATCATGGGAAGTGATAGCATTGTTCTATACCATACTGGTGAGGCCACATTTGTAATACTACATTCAGTTCTGGTCACCACAATACAAGAAGACCTCCAATGTCCCTTCCAGCTGAAAGATTAAAGCAGTTCTTACCAATCTGTTGGGGACAAATGTGTATATTCAATTTATTCAATTGTATCACCAGTGGCTATGCAACGCTGGTGAATAATATCTGGTTAATACAGCAACAAACAACCAACAAAAATTATATGCCTGGGACAGCACATATATTTAGGGCTGACTTAACCTATTGGCCTATACTCAAGAGGAAAACCAAGTCTTCAGTCCCTTATGAAAAATTAGCAGGGTTTTTGTCATATGGATCTTAGGATGTATGCTCTTCTACAGGACCACCATAGTTTTCCTCATTCTCCATGTTTGCTAGGTGAAGATGACAAGAATTGTCATCCAAACATATAGTAGCTTGGGGAGAACAACATTTGAAGCAACTTTTACCCCGTGCATTGCTTTATGATGGGTTGTGGTAATTCCAGTCTCCTTCCACAAAACAAAATGGTAGAGAAATTTGAGCTGGAATAATCATTTATTTGTTCTGCTATTTCTGATCTATAACCTTTCTTTTATTTGGATAGGTTTGAATAAACTTCATAGTAATTTCTGCAATAACAAAAAGGGTCCATATAGAATATTAATAATGTTAATAATAGAAATGGAGCTTTTCCCAGTTTGCAAGGCTTGTTGCTCAAGCGAGAAATACGTTTGAGAGGAAAATACTTTATCAAATTACCTCAACTCTCAGGTCAATTTAGCATGTGTTTTGAGCATGTTCCAAGCTTCTCTATTTTTTTCACCTTAGTTAATATTTACATGGATAAAAGTATATTTTACCTGATCAAATATATACTAATAAACACAGTCCACTTATGTTCTATCAGAAGTGCATCTTTCTGCATCTTTCTGCATTCCATCCAGTTTTAATGCAATTTGTTACAAGTTGCTATAGTTAGGGCAATTGAATTTGAAGAGAAGTGTATATCTTCATTTGCAAGCTCATTTTTATGTCCTGTTTTTAATTAAAGTGCTTCATATGGTTGTGCTGAGATGTGGATTTGAAGGACATAATGAGATTTGGAGCATGTCTGGGTGTACATATAGTGCCTGTTGGTAACACCTTAAGACAAATGCATGTTTTTTTTTTTTTTTGCAGGATTGTCTACCATTTGCAATACCCCAGATGAAGACAGACTTGCTTTAACCTCTTTCCAACAGTACATGTACGCCCAATGTCCACTTCAAATCTCTTTTTGACTTTTGAATCTAAATCACTGCCCAGTGATAGTTTTCTGGGTGTTAAAAATAACAAAGTACAATTCTATGCCTACTCAAAATTAAGTCTTACCGAGTTCATTAATTAGATCAGTGGTTCCCAACCTTTTTTTCACCCCGCACCCCTAAAGAAATTTCACTCAACCTTGCACCCCCTGAAATTTAGACTTTAGGAACTACTAAACGTGTTAAATATATGGTAGGATTGAATCTTTTCAGCTATGTATGTGATAGCCACTAAATAACGATACTTAACTCTAAAATGAAAACAAAGTTAATCCATTGCATAATAAATAAAAATGCCAACATATAGCCAATATCCTATTATTTACCTGGACTTTTCTCCAACCCCCTGGAATATCGTCTCGCACCCCAGATTGGGAACCCCTGAATTAGATATACTAAGCTATGAGAAAGTCCCATTGAACACAGTGGAACTATCTCATAAATATTCATGTATAAGATTGCATGAAAAAGTACTCTGATTTATTTAAACATCCTGATCTTCAGGCATAAAATAATCTCATTTTTTGCATCTTCTAGCTAAATGATGAAACGATTATTGGTTATGGACTGATTTCTTTTTCTAAGGTTTTTGCTTTTTTTTAGCAAAAATAATAAATGTTCCCCTTTACCTTCCCCCTTCCTTTAATTAGGCATGCATGCAGTCATGACAGTGTTTAATACATGTTGTGTTTAATACATGTTGTGTACATGTTGAATAGAAGTAATTAGTTGGTTTTATATTGCATGGGAATTAACATCTATTGTTAAATATTTAATTGAGCATGTTTGTTTTGTGCTTCTTCCCTATATAATTCAAAGAGGACCTATTTCTGCCTCAGCTTTAATGTAGTAGAAATGGCTCACTGGGAGCACAGGTAGTATAGTCATTTTTGCAAGATTTTTCCTTGGAAAGAAAAGACTGCTTTCCATCTCTTTCAGCAGCGACCAATATATTCAAGCATTTTGTACTGTCACTATGATATTTGATTAACTCCAAGGCATATGGCAGTGCTTCCCAACTTTTTTTCCTTGGTTACCCCAAACCATTTTTGGAGTTCAGCAAACAGTCACGTTTTGTTACGAAGGCAAGAGTAAAAAATCCTACTTCACACACTGTGCAGGAACTTGGAAATAGCAATAATTTCATCATGGCCTCCCCAGCTATCACAGGATATTCATTCTGAATTGTTACTAGTAAAGATGTCAACGCTTTTCTTCAAATAACGTTCTGCACTGCAAGCTCAGTCATTTGCTCTGCAAAACCATTAATGGATTCACGTGTTGTTACCCAAAGAGAAACCACTTTTATCCAATTTTGGGTAATTTAGCTAGGCCTGGGAAGCACTGGCACACGGCAACCTCCACAATGCCTCTTTCTGAAATGTTTTTTTCCCCCTTCATTTTATTGCCTGACTGCATGATACCATGAAATAATTGTGAGTTCAGTGTGCTAAGAGATGAAGTATAGATTCACTGTTAAGATATTAGACCTCTTATTGATTGTAGTAGTAGAGGCTACATTTCTTTATTATTGAGTGGCACACTATCCTATATGCTTGATTGCGATAGTATCTTTGGCCCGATTATCCGGAATACACATTAAAGGTATCACATTTTAATTTTCTGGATCTCTTTTAAAAGATTGGTATCTCATTGGTTATGAAGTTAGATGTGAATTGTTATTTTCCATCACTACTTCTTTTATTTATTTTATTTGTCATACATGAGTGCAATCATCTGGCATTTTAAAATATTTTTATTATTGGACTCATCAATATTAGTGATCCAGTCTGGGAGAAAAATTCTTTTTGGTGTCTCATTGTTTCTTTGTAAGTTTAGTGCTCCTGCATTCATGCCCTCTTTTTCTGGAAAAAACATCTATTTTCTGAAGGATATCTTCATTTTTGGATTCTGCTTGTCAATCTCTGGATGGCCTCTTCGACTTGGTGATATTTTATTTGATTTGTCAATTGCTCACAAGATACTTTTTCTGAACTGTAGTATAAAATTTAAAAAACAGTCATAAAACATGAACTGGTGATATGGCATCCTCACCCTTGATATCATATCACCATCCTCCCACCTCTGTGCTTCCTGGAAGACTAGAGAAGGAAACCATAGATTTCTGACTAAAATGGTTAAATATTTGTGAGGTACAAGAAATTAGCAGGCTGCATATACGGAAAAGAGAAGTTCTTGAGTTCTTTCCCAAGCTGCTTTCTACAGAGCTTCCCCTTTTGCTTTAATTTTATCTCAGAGAATAAAATAAATGCTAAAAAGAGAGTTAGGGTTAAGTGTCTTCTCCTTCCAAAAAGTTGACAGTCATGGCCACTTCTTCGCCATTCTTGCACTTTCTGTTCTTTCTATTGCTTTGATTTGTAGTCGACCATGGGATACAAAGATGTGCTGAGGCTATGACTACTTTTACAACTTTTGCTGTTCACCAAATCAGCATGCTTTGTCTGCCATTATGGATGTTCGCTCACCTCCAGAACAAGAGAGTATGCTAGAATATCCACACGTTGCCACTTTTTTTTTGCTTCTTCCACCAAGTTGTCCCTTGATCTTCACAGAGTTCTGATAGCATCCACAATAGCAGAATTCTTATGAAAAATCCCAGGGAACAGTCTGGATATGGACTTGATTTTCTTGTAACTAAAAGATGTCCGGGAATTTTTTAAAAAGAAAAAAAAAACCTATATTGTAACAGAGTCCACCAACTTATTATTGTTTGGGTAGAATATAACAAAATGATTATAACTGGGTTGTCAATCAGAGCAACCAAATCCTTTCAGGCATCATATAATAGAATATGTCGACAAAGCACATTTATTTCAGGAGTAAGCCAGGTGAGCACATTTTATTTTGAAGAGCCTGCTATATCTATGTATTTGGTTTTGGGATTCTTTCTATAGGCTGCTTTTCTTATTACTATTTCATACTATTCTCTCCTTTGCAGCCTGGTTGAGAAGAGTTGCATTCATCATGGCCCAAGGATCCAGTGACATGGATATTGGGGAGCAAGAGGACAGTTCTCCAAATATGATTGTTTACCGAAAGGTAAGAAGCTCAAGCGTCATTCATAATTTCTATGCTGGCTTCTGAACTAGATGAATAAGGAACTATTAACTCTTTAAAAACTTGTACGTTAATACATGTGGTCCTCAACTTATGACAGCAATTGGTCCTGGGATTGCTGTTGCAAAGTGGTGCAGTCATAAAGTGCAATGCAATGAAAGGTGAGGTAGTAGTCCCAGTTGTTGTCATAACCCCAAGACACGTGTCATTAAGCAGAAAGTGGAGGAAATCCCATGTATAGAGCTGCAGTGACACAGTGGTTAGAGTATCAGTACTGCAGGCTACTTCTGCTGACTGCCAGCTACCAGCAGTTTGGCAGTTCAGGTCTCACCAGGCTCAAGGTTGGCTCAGCCTTCCATCCTTCCTAGGTCAGTAAAATGAGGACCCAGATTGTTGGGGACAATAGGCTGACTCTGCAAACTGCTTAGAGAGGACTGTGAAGCACTATGAAGCGGTATATAAGACTAAGTGCTGCACTGACCCAGAAATTTAAGGACTGGCTGTTGAGTGCCATCATAATTTTATGCAGTTGCTGAATGAATAGTTGAAGTTGGAGTACATCTGTATTTTGCTTTGGTTTATTGGGCAATCTTTAATTAGTCAGCTAAAAGATTTGTCAGAAAGATAAAGTATACCACCAAAATTTAATCAATTTTTTTAAAAAATACTTTAGCAACAACAGTCCCTTGCTTTGTTTTCAAGTAAGAAAGGAAGTATGTGAACCCTGTCTCCGTGAAAGCTCCATAGTGCAGCTTCAACAAAGATGACTTTTCCCAGAATCACCAGAAATCTAAAACCAAATGGAGATCCACTGTCTTACAGTCTTCTCCTGGGGAGCCACTGTATGGAGCACTTGGGGACTCCCCTGGTCCTCTTCTGGAGAGGAATTCAAATGCAACAATCCATTCACCAGCTCCTCTTTCTACCAAAGTAGTTTCCATTCCACCCTGGAATCCAGTACACTGATCTCTTCAGTAATATTGTACAGCTATAAAAAATGAAATTTGGGAATAGGGAACAAAGAGAGCCAGTCTGGTATTGTGGTTAAGAGGCTGGCCTAGAAAGCAGGAAGCAGTGAGTTCTAGTCCTGCCTTAGGCATGAAAGCCAGCTGGGTGACTTTGGGCAGTCATTATTTCTTAGCTTAACCCACCTTACAGGATTGTAGTTATATGGAAAATAAGAGAAGGAAGGAGCATTATATTTGTGTGATGCTTTGAGTACTATAAAGTAGTAAAAGTGGAATTAAAAATCTAATAAATAAACAATCAACAAATTATGCTTCTTCGGAGCATGTTCATCCAAATGGTTGGAAATAGAAATTGCAGTTGAGTCTTCAGTTATTGGATTCAAATGTTATTTACTTAAAATTGATTCAAATGTTATTTACTTAAAATACAGCATGGTTCCATATATAATTAATTGGTTCCACCTTACCTTGAAAAATGAATTAATGATAACCTCCATACTGTAACAAACCTTGTTGTGTTAAAAAATGCATTAGGAGCAGTTTGAGAATTTCTTTAGTCCCTTTTCTTCTTTATCTGCCCCACATTTGCCCTGGCTGTAAAGATGGTCTTGGTCAACTTTTCAAGGCCTCCATTTATGTTCAACTTTGGATTCCCAAAGTGAGTCCTAGAACAGGAGTCTCCAACCTTGGCAACCTTAAGACTTGTGGACTTCAACTCCCAGAATTCCTAAGCTAAGCTGGCTGAGGAATTCTGGGAATTGAAGTCCACAAGTCTTTAAGTTGCCAAGGTTGGAGACCCCTGTCCTAGAGAACATGTTTAGTATTTGTTAGGTCCTGTGCCCTAGCATTTAAAATCCTTGCTTACATAAGAATATATGTGCCTCATAGTTGCTCTTAGAAAATACAAAATGATTAATGGCTGATATCACAGGCTCTGTTTATATGGTCACCCACCTAAGAAAAGTTGAAGATAAACTGGGGTGGGTGAGTATTGCCAAAGGCTGTCATAGTTGCTAGGCACAACATATGTTTACTTTCTGCTTACACACCCATAGTAACCATGTTGGGAACAGTAAATAAACATTTCAGACGTGCTGGCCATCTATGAAAGACCAACCTCTTATATATTCCAGCAAACATGAAATGCCATGCTGGATTTCATCACTGATTTGAATTGAAATCTAGTACATCTGGAAGGGAACAGATAGAAGAAGGTTGATCCACTCAGTCAAGATGTTTCACTGGTATGATACAAGATGAACGGAGGCTTATTGTACACAATTAATATCAGACAACCTCAAAAGCTGAACATTTGGGTTACATACATATATTTAACTTTGGGTCTACCTCTAGAATTATGGTTCCATAAAGTTCTTGAATTGTTGTCAGAAAATATATTAGTAAACTTTCAAGATAATAAATTATGCATTGTGCTTGGATATTTATTCTGCTGTAGTTGTGTGCTTCTCTCTCTCTCAAGGCATATGCTGTTTGGGGACAAATTTTAACTTGTCCTTAGCAGAGGGAGGATGATTAGAGTATGTTGTTTTGAAGGCAACAATATATAATTGTTTTGCTTTATTTTCTTATTTTCTACTTTTTAAAAGCCCCTTTAAAGCCGAATCCTGTAAAGTAAGGTAACATTAATATTATTAAAATATTACTTTCTAATAGGAGTAAAAACAACATCCCAGAGCTTAACTACAGCACTACAAACACTATCATATCACTTTTGATTATGATCTTAGCTCCACTAGGTAGACTGGACCACAAAATCAATTCCATAAAAAGGCTAAAAGTATTTTTTATTACGACTGGCAACAGAGGTTTGTTGCATGTTTGGTTAAACTATACCTCCCCCTAAGCTGAATGGAATAAAAACATTCTCAATATTCATTTATAGCAGAGGTGGTATTCAGCAGGTTCTGACCAGTTCTGGAGAACCGGTAGTGGAAAATTTGAGTAGTTCGGAAAACCACCCCTGACTAGCCCCACCCCCATCTATTCTCTGCCTCCCTAGTCCCAGCTGGCTGGCTGGGTCTTCTTTTGTTGTCCTGCACAGGAGAACAGAGCTGGAAAGCAGGTTAGTGGGGTGGGGAGGGAATGGGGATTTTACAGTATCCTTCCCCTGCCACACCCATCAAGCCACGCCCACAGAACCAGTATCCCACCACTGATTTATAGTCTATCAATGAAGATATGTGTCAGAATATGGTCTTCATTCCAGGGACACTGAGTTGCCTTGGGTGGATGTTGCTGTGCCTTTTCTGGGAGTTCTAAAAACAGACATGCTGAGAAAAAGCTACTGACCTGTAAAATAAGCTTAAATTGAGATGCATTAGGTTGATGAGTGTCCCCAAGGGATTTCAAGCGGGAGTGTTTCTGAGTGGAAAATGAAGGAAGTACAGAATATGTTTTTTCTCCATTACTTATTCCATTTTAAATCTTTCCCCCTGCCCCACCCACAACATTCACTGAATACTTCATAAGGCAGGCAACCTTTAAGTATCTATGGATTTGTCCATATGATTTGAAACGAGCACCTTCAAGCAAAAATAATGGAAATGGCATTATTATAAAGGCTGTAAGTGGAGATACTGGTATAACTCCTTGCTTGAAATATTGAAAGAGAACAGGATATTATTATGGATCCAAAGTGAAGGTCCATCTATAAATATATCTCACTGAATTCAACAGAAAAGGGGTGGTCTTTCTTAAAGAGGTATAGGAAATCAGATAGCACAGCACACCTTCCTTAAAATTCATGAGATACCTACAATTGCATCTTTGGACTCCTCCTGAAATTTCCCCCAAGTTTTCCCTGGATAAACTGGATGAATGATTCAGTTTCATTTTTCTTCCCTCCATATTTCCTCCCATATTTTAAACTAACATAATTTCTATCATTTTACTTTTTATTTTGTTCTTTTAACCAGGGGTGGGATTCTACCGGTTCGCACCTATTCGCTAGAACCGGTTGTTAACATTCTAAGCAGTTTGGAGAACCAGTTGTTAGAAGAAATTACTAGCCTAATCCTGTAAGGAAGGCAGGAAGGAAACATCCTGGTGTTGCTTACAAAAACTGCCTCTCCGTTAACCCTTATTACATTCTTGGCAGGACTAGACTTCCTATCTCAGGAACTTCTCTGGAGTGTTTTCCCCCTCCTTTGTTGGTACTTTGCTTGTGTGGAGTGACCATTCAAAGTTATAATGGCACTGAAAAAAGTGACTTATGACTGTTTTTTACACTTATAACTGTTGTAGCATCCCCACAGTCATGAGAGGCCAGGCGAGGAGATGCGTGCTTCGATGTGAGTGATGTTGAGTTGGCCACACCCAGCCAGTCACATGACCACCAAGCCACGCCCACCAACTAAGCCGGTTGTAAAAAAAAAATGAATTCCACCCCTGCTTTTAACTGCTTTTATTGTAAATCACATCCCTGTACAACTGAGTAGGAAACATAGGGCTGTATTAAGGAAATAATTATTTACAACTATGTATGTATGTATTGGCTTGTGCTACCCAATAATTATTGTTGGAAATAGACAGCTGAAGGGGAATTAGAGTAAGTGCTCAGGGATATGCAATGAAAAAAAATTCTTGCCTTTCCCCCCTGAAGCTGTTTTAGTTTGTTTTTTCTAAAAAAATATGAGAAAATTGAAACAAAAGAAAGAAGATGAAAGCTTTCATTATTTTCTTTTAGAATAATGAATGACACAGGGTGTTCATATATTTCAGTATATTTACTTTACATGCCTTGCATACTTAGGACTAATGAGTATAATAGAAAAGCTCATCTTAATTTGAGCAAACAATTTTCATAATCCAAAGTCTATTAATAAGATGAACATGAAGTTTCAGCTGCACAAAGACAGAATCTGTTGATAAAAGCATTAGTTTTATTTTAAAAAGATTCCTAAATTGTCTGTAACTGAAGGCAAAACATACTGTACATGTAATACATATTGTCCCCACTCTTGTTTTCTTAATTCTTTAAAAAAATATCCTTGA